CAGGATCAGATCAGGTCATTAGGTGTGAAGGCATGCCCTTTACCTTCTGAGCCATCTCACTGGCACACACACACACACACACACACACACACACACACTAACATATGTGTGTGTTAGTGTGTGTATCACTTTCAGTGGGTGTTGCTTGGGTAAAGACTGATAGGTAAACCTATCAGTCTCCAGGAGTATGTATGTGTATCCCACACTAGACCGTCAAGTACACAGCCTTTAAAACAGGCAGGCATTTGTTCTTCCAGGATCATGACCTGTATCCACACAGAGTACCTTTGCTATCTCTCACAATAGATTTTGCTCCAATCAGATCTAAGCATCACTGACTAGAAAAGATGAGGAGCAAGGAGGGCAGACACTTAATTACTCCAGAAGACATTTCCAGTTTTGGTGCATTTCACCCCATCCCCCAAGGACTTAGCTGGCTAAGAGTATTACCAAGGGATGTCTGCAGTGACCGTTTTAATCATCTTAACGGCCTGTTTACTTCTGTGTGTGTGGGGCAGACTTTTGCCTCGTTCGAGGATGTGTTTCTCAACGAACACGGGCCAGATGAGAAGAAGAAAGCAAAGCCATCCCTCGGGAACATGCTGTCTGTCATAAGGACAGGTTTGGCAGCCCACACACACGCAGGTGTGTCCTAAGCCTTCTCATTCATTCTACATGCTACAGAGCAGCTGCTCACGTATCAGAAAGCAACTGAAGCCTCCAGCCACAAGTTTAGTGTGAAAATGTCAGTTCATAATGCCAGTCCCAGAAATGAGTTACTGCATAAGGGAAAACCACACCCAGCCTAGGAAAGCAGTGAGCGGGTGGAGGAAGAGTATAAGAGAAGGAGCAGATGCTGCCAATGCAGCAGCCAACATCCTTTTGACAACACCAGCAAATGTGGCGCAAATTAATGAAAATTAAAAGACCAAAGTGAGATGTGCCTCAGTGGTTAATAGCACCGGCTGTTCTTCCAGAAGACCCAGGTTTGATCCCCAGCTGAACTGTTAGTAGCCTGTAACCCTCTGCTAACCAGGTCCCAGGGGATCTGATGTTATCTTCTGGCTTTCTCTGGTACTAGGTATGCAAGTGGCACACACTTGTAAATTCTACAAAACACAGACATAAACACAGACGCACAATTAAAGACCAATATGATTTGTGGATGCTGTCCCAGGATAGGCGGTTTTGCTGAGCTATTCTAAGCTCAGAAAACTACTGTTTTGCTTCAGGCTGGGCTTGGGTAAGTCCACGACTGTGTCCTAGTAAGACCAGACCTTAACAAGCTCTGGTTGAAATCTTAGCGTGTCAGGATACTATTTCAGAAGGCTCCACTTGTTAATAAGTAGACTCTGATACTCAGGATACTACTTGTAACTCTCTACAATTCACAGTGTGTTATTTTTTTTAAAGATTTATTTATTTATTATATGTAAGTACACTGTAGCTGTCTTCAGACACCCATATGAGGGCATCAGATCTCATTGTAGATGGTTGTGAGCCACCATGTGGTTGCTGGGATTTGAACTCATGACTTCTAGAAGAGCAGTCAGTGCTCTTAACCGCTGAGCCATCTCTCCAGCTCTTTTTTTTTTTTTAAGATTTATTTATTTAATGTATAGAGCATCCTGTCATTGACACATCAGAAGGGGGCATCAGATCCAATTACAGATGGTTGTGAGCCATCATGTGGTTGCTGGGAATTGAACTCAGGACCTCTAGAAGAGCAGACAGTGCTCTTAACCACTGAACCATCTCTCCAGCCCCGTGTTATTTTTTTAACTAATTAGTTTCATTTTATTTGAGTACACTGATGTTTTGCTTGCATGTATGTCTGTGTCAGGTTGTTAGATCCCCTGGAACTGGAGTTACAAATAGTTGTGAGCTGTCACGTGAGTGCTGGGAATTGAACCTGCATCGTCTGGAAGTGCAAGTGTTCTTAACCACTGTACCCTGCACATCGTAAGACTTATCCCTCTGCAAACTATAAGACGTCTATGATCATCGACATGAGTCCCCTGTAGGTGTCCCTCTAATAAGAGCTAAACCAGAGCAATGTACATTTAAGCACCATCTTATGACCAACAGAGTGTATATGTATGTATGTATGTGTGTGTATGTATGTATATATATATATATGTGTGTGTGTGTGTGTGTGTGTGTAAAACCAACCAGAAAACCAAGTTCTTTATTTTTAAAAAGGGTTTTTAAAGATTGCTCAGTGGGTAAGGTTGTTTGTCACTAAGCCTGATGACCTGAGTTTGATCCCCAGAACCAACACCTGAAAGCTGTCCTCTAACCTGTACACACATCCTGACATGCACGAACATGCCCACTCAAACACACATACATGTAAGAAAGTAACATAGGTGAAGTTCTCTACAGAACTCTACAGTCTTTACTGTTTCCAAGGTGTCATCTGTGGCTACGTGCTTTGTTCCTGAGCTACACGCTTAGCCCAAAGGGAGTCATTTTAAAGTAAGTGCATTGATATAGGAAGTCCCTTCTAAATTCCCATAGTCAAACTCGGTCAAACAACCCTTTGTAAATCAGCAACACATGAGCGCCACCTTGTGTCTAAGATTCTTCATTATACCCAGATCTTAAGGCCAAAGCAGGACCACACTTGGGACTCTCACCAATTACAGAATATAGCTTTATTTATGGAATCTTACAAATAAAACATTTACAGTTCACATGACATAAGTTATTTTATTTTCTAATTCTCATAACACCTGAGTTATTTAAAAAAATACTGTGACGGAACTGTAAAGCGAACTATGAATAAAATTCTCTTTCTTTTTGCAAAAATCACCCAGCTTATCTGCATCTCTTTGGAAGAGGGTTCACTAAAACTGGATCCTAGGTGATCCAGACAGAGAGAAGTTTTTTAAAACCCAGGTGCAGGGTACTGGAGAATGCTCCCCCTGCTGACACTAAATATCGGAGGGTGGGGATGGAGGACTGAAGGTGAGGTCAGAGATGAGGTGCTTGGTGACAGAACCCGAGGCCTGGCTAAGGGCTCCTCAGTGTGACAAGCACTTTCCTTGCTAGTGTTAACAGGGGACAAAAGCCATGGGCAGTAAGGCCAAGAGAGAAATGTCTGCTAAGCAACTCACCACCCCTTAGACCTCTAATATGTACAGATGCTTAAAACAGCAAGTTCAACATTTAAAAGTCAAAAAAAAAGTCAATGGCCACGTTTTCAACTCATGGGCGGATCTGTCCCAACAGCAATGGATAATCAGCTGGACGACTGCACGCCCCACCTGAGTTTGGCTAATGCCAGCCTTCTGCTCTGAAGAAGCCCCAGGATTTCCTTTCAAGGCAGCTGCCTGCACAAGTTCTCGAGTTCATGGGAAGAGTGCATGGCAAGCACTCTATCTGGTGGTTAAGACTCTTTGTAAAGGTCTTTTAAACAAACTAAGCCATCATCCTACTCCAGCATAAGGGCATTTAAAGAACGGGCTCTAGGGGAGATTCTAAGGTTAAAAATATAATACATGAACCAGGTAAAGCAGACTCTTTCAATCTTTTCAATCTGTGGTGCTGGGAATGAAATTCAGGGTCCCACACACACACTGGACAAAAGCTCTACCACTAAGCCACACCCTCAGACCTACAATCTTAAATTTTATGCTTTTATCTTCATTTTGTCTTGCAGACACGGGAGCTTGCTATGTAGCCCAGACTGGCCTGCAATTCACTATGAAGCCCAAGCTGATATAAAACTTGAGCCTGCTGACTCAGCCTCCTATGGGCTGAGATTACAGGTGTGAGCCACCACACCCTGCTCAGTCTTACATTTTGAGTGTCAATTTCTGCTAGCTCCTGAAGCAGTTGTAGGAGAAATAAAACAGAAAAGATGTTAGTGTTAGTCTTCAAACACTAACAACTATGACAGTAACTTAAAAACTTCGATTCTAACACTGAAGGAACTGGTTCTTTGGTAAAACTGGACTCTGAGCCTACCAGGACCTTGTCCTGACATTCAATCTAGTACCTTGATTGCAGAAGTTTCCTCTTCCTTCTGCCTCTTCTCAAAGGCAAGAGGCAGGAGTGGGGAGAGAAACTGAGCAAATCTCTAAGCTTCCCCAGTTGTGTTATCAGGATTCCTGTTTTCAAGCATGTTTCCCCAAGAAGAACAAGAATGAACACACACACACAAACACACACGTGTGTGTGTGTGTGTTTGTGTGTGTGCATATATATATATATGTATATGTATATGTATATGTATATACGTATATATATACATATAC